CCAGACCATCTAATACCAACTGGGGAACAAAAAGATACATCTTAAGTCAACTTCTACAATAATTATTTATTTGACAAACTGATATTGTCTGATTCAGTTGCATTATAAATGAAATAATCTAGAAAACTGTAATTAAAAAAATCGGTATGCAATGCTATATTTTGTGATTGTTCAAACTGAAAAAGCCTAACTACCTTACATGTCAAAAGGCAGGATTCTAGCATCAGCAGGCACACCTAGTAAAATAAGTAAATATTCGACTATTCAGTAGTCAGAACTGACAGATTTCATTCATGAAGTCATGTACGTCAGTGGTACAGCGGTTAGGAATCTCACAGACCATGCACGTGGTCCGGGGCTCGATAGCCTGCCGACGCACACTTGATATCAGTGGTCGGTCTGCAAAATTTGGACTACCGATATCACATGCTGAAAATTTCGTACCTCTACCAAAAGTAATATGTGGAATCAAGCTATAATCAGAAAAAAATCTACCATAAAAAGTAAAAATGTACTTATAAGTTTTACAATATTTTTCGAAGTCATATAAATACCGTATGTGAAGTATTATTGTATCTTGCTAAATTTTGTGATTTTTCACTAATTATGGGTGTATCTTTCTTCTTTTACGGAAACTGTAACTCCAAATGATTATTTCACTTGTTATAGGTGATGTGCAAGAGAAAATGTTTCTATTTAATCCACTTAACTTATAGTATTCCAAATTTAAAAACAGACTCATAATTGCCTAGCAAAGCTTACTATGTAGGTATGTTGACACTTCGACTTCACCTGCATCATGTCTTTTAGACTATACACGACTAACAACTTTAGAGAATAAATTAAGTTTCCTGTTTTCTCTGCATTTAGTAGGTACGGTACTGATCGTTTTTCTGTATGATTAACCTAATACTGGTGTATGTTGTCATCTGTACTGTGTAAAAACGATGTCAGTTGAAAAAGTTAGTATTATTATATTGCTATAACTCTGAGTAGTATCAGTTTAAACTATACGCGTTAAAAAGGATGAAAAGAAACTTGTTCACTGTACAGTGTAATATAAACCAGTGACCACCTAATATGCCGTCAGAGGTGAATGCAATATTATTCCGTGTTCTTAACTTACTGTTAGGTAGGTATTATAATTAGAAATGCAAAATATTGATATTTTACATACTGATGTTTACTCACCTAATCCTGCAAATATACAAGTTCTGGTGTTTATAAATACAAAGTAATAATGTGGTTTGAGTTTACCTATTTATTACTACTGTGATACCATAAGAAGCGATAGAATCAAGGTGTGAATATCTTCGTTAAACCCTACACTTGATCGTGCAGAGGTAGGCAACATGATGGAAACCGTTAAGTGGTGATGACTGTCTACCGGATGGGTGACTGAAAATATTGAGTATCGAAAGAAAACTTCATGAAATTTCAGTCCTTCGTCTGAAATAAATTTTTATCCTAAATTGTAATACAAAGATTCTGCGTAAGATTTCTGCTCAGTATGAAACCGACATCTGCAATTGTAGGAAGTTGATATCTCAGCAGTTGTTTTACCACAAGTTTTAGGAATTCATTAATCAGTTACTATGAATCTCGTCGGCAGTCTAATAAACAGTTTTATTCCTACTACTTATTGCGTACAGTCACTGATCTGCAGGTAACTCAGAAAGTTTCCATATATTATTGACTTTATTCCCTTGCGTTTCAAGCTTAAAATGGGCCTTCAAGCTTCGGGTCTGAAGTTTCAGTAGAAGTGGTGTTCCTTGCGAGATGGAGTTTTTAGTCTTATATCCAACCTTCCTTCTCTGTCGGGCTTGCAACCGACTAAGGGAAGTAAAGGTGTGGAAGGTGTGTGCGGTTGGGAATCCATCCTCCTACCACATGTGTAGTTAGAGACCATTCTACCACAATAACTGGAACACCCTTTATACCAGACCTTGTTTAACAGGAAGCTGAGATTTCTGAATTCTTCTTGGAACTGTTTTTTTTTGTTGTTGTTACGGAAGTGAAAGGTAAAAGCACTTTATTTGGAGTAATTTTGGGTCTCTGAAAACTGCCGAAAAAACTGTCTATTTACACCTTTATTTTAATTGACTGATATCATAACCTGAAAGTGTGACTTAGTGGTATTGCATATAGTTTATCTCCAGAGAAGCTGAATATTAAATTTTTTAGATAATATATCAAAAAGGAGAATGAAAACATCGCTTGTACTCTTCACCACGTAGTACCTGTTTGACAGCATCCTTTCTTGTATGAAACCCACTATTTAAACTACTGACTACATATACACATATCATGTGAAAGTAGGAGCTGTTTGATAAATATTTGATGAAATAAACGACTATTTACTGTAAGTGGGTTGAAAGTGTGAAATAAATTCTCAGTATACGCATATACCTGTGGGACAATAGGTCTTCACTTCCTGATTCACCTCATCTATTTTCGAACATATATATATATATAAACATTTGATGAACATAATGTTAATTCAATTTATTTTTGAAAATATTTTAACAACAAAATATTTTTTCCACATACAGTTTCGTTATTTTGCTGATAATGTGTTCATTTCTGTTTCGGAACAGTATGCTTTTTAGAAATAAATAAATTTAATGGATTTTTTTATTTATTAAGTATTAATATTTTCGATCATGAAATGTTTTCAACTTCCGATTAGATTAATACGCTGTTTCCATCTAATTGAATATCACTCTAGAAATATTAGTTATTCAGAGAGAAAAAGACGACGAATAAATATTCTAACAGACTAACTGGAAGATCATGTTATCAAACAAGATAGTATTCTTGAAACTACAGACTAGAAATGCAGAAATGGAGACAGTTTGAATTTTCATAAACTCAGTGGAAAATGTATAGATCGTGTGCTGAATTATCGCCTAAGAGTTGTGTTTAAGTATTCAGTATATATCAGTTGTTCATTGAATTAGTTGTGTTCTATGAACTGGTTGATTTAATTGCGAAGTTTTCGTCGTCCTTCTAGACAGCATCTTCAGCACAGGTTTTAGTACGCAATGAACTAATTTGAATTCTCTATGAATGATATAATTGTACCTCCTCAAAACCATATATTGTAAACACGCATCGAGCGATCGCTACTTAAACTTCAACAGCTTCTGCTCAGTCAGTTACATACGAACTCTGGTGAAAACACTTTATTCCAGAGAGAAAAGAATGTGATCACCTGATAAATTAGACAGCGAACTAATACTGCTTGAGAATGGCTTGAAGGGAGATGCTTATCTACAAATTTTTATTGACAAATATGGTAAGAATGAACGTAAGAAACCTGATGAACCTACGGTCAGCAAGAAGCCAGTTTTCATCAAATTTGACTTCAAAGGCAATGACACTATGAGAATTATTAATAAAAGATTAGGCGCGGCCCTGTCCAGGACGTATCCTGCAGCAAAACTAATCATTCCGCTCCGAACATCTCCCTCGTTGGTGCAGTCAAAGATTGAAAAGTACCCCTGATGTTTTACTTCCAATTGTATATACCAAATCACGTGTATCTGCGTGAGCAATTACATTGGAAGAACAGAAAGAGAGGCCTAAGTCAGATTCTTTGAACCTGTCCCAAGGAGCTTCTGGTTAAAGGAGTCAAGTCGTTTAAGCTCTTCAATTACCAAACATCTGATAGACACCGGACACCCGGCAGACAGACTGGCATCATTCAAAATAATTAACAGAAAAAACAGTTCAAGTCTTCTTCAGTTTTTTGAGGCTGTTGCAATAAAACGGCCGAAACCTGACCTATGTGTCCAAAAGGAACCTGCCGTTGAACTCCTATTGCCCTGGTGACTCATCTCTTAGTAACTGTTGATCTCCTAACTTCTTTAGCTTATCTTTTCAACATCCCCTTTGCCTCGTTTCTTCTGTTTGACTTCTATGAGAGATAATTTTTCCTTATCTTATGAGTTCTACCCACCATACTGCATCATCACCTCTTCATCTGACATCTTGCATATCAAATTTTGATCTTCTCTCATCTAACCATGTAGTTGTTACTAATTTTTTGTTGCCACACCAACGACAAACTTGTCAATTAATTGTCTAGAAAATTCTCTCTAAAAAGATATATATACTTACACTTCAGCTACCTTGTCGTCCTGTTGTTTAACCTCAACATGGCACCCTTATAATATGCTTGTTGACGACAAAGTATGATAAATTTTATGCTAGCTTTTATTTATTACGGATTATGGGTTGTATGTAGCTGATGAGGACCAAGGAAATAAATTGAATCTATGTTATTCTGCACCAATGTTTGTTCTTTCTGTGCTCAAATTTATAAAAGGGAATTCTTGTATGACATCTTATTTAGCAGTGTACAGAAAAGCATAAAGCATGACTTCTTACAGTGGTGATTTCATTCAACATTCAAAGTTTGATTATTTGCACTGTGACTTGAGATTGCAATGAGATATACTTTCAATAGGAATGTCCACCTGTTACCCAAGCGACATTCTCCTCAAGACTATGAAGACCTAAATTTAGGTTTTTTACTTTAAAGATACATCCTTAAAAATGTGATTTGTAATTCTCTGTTAATTTAAAATGTTTCCTTAATCAATTGTCCTGTATGTGTTTGAGAACACGATTTGAGTAGAATGGATAATCTGTAAAGTTTATCATAATCTCTTACACTGCTTTTAATTCATCGCCATTGTCACATGTGAGTTGAAACACAAATTCTCCTACCTTTAATTTTTGACCACAAATGCAGAATGTTTGGCTTCCTCCACATTATCCTTCTTCACCAAAACTTGACCGAATAAAATATTTTCCTGCCCAGCTAACTTTGCTATTAAAGCCTACCAAAATTATACATAACATTGCGTTAAAAATAGTTTTAAGTTACACAAAGAATACTTTCAATTCCATTGTAACTACACACCAGATGTGAAGGTAAATCGCTAGTACACGTTTGACATACTAATAATTGACTTGTTACATTTTCATTTCAGAATAAATCGATAATACATCTTTCCAGATGTCCCGTTAGAATGCTTACCCGCTGCATCATACTGGTCTATTTATTATATTTTAACAAAATCATTTTTGCTGGATCCGAAGAAAGACTGGTACAGAAAACAGAGAATTTGGCTATAGGTGAGCTTTTTGATAGATGCTTGGTATTTAAAATCGAAATATTTATAATTTATGGTGTTTATTACATACTTATTGCCACTTTTATCCATAATATTTAAAATATGCATATCATTAAAGTGTGATTTAGAGATGAATCCAGTATTTCAGTGTCAGAATAAAATTGAAGTGACTTGCAGAGAAGATTAAGTGAAGGGATGAATAAACAGGGCTTAAAACGAACACAATGTAATGTTAAGTAACTGAACAATGATTTTCTGAATTTATAGGGTTCAAGCTACTGTATATCTGTTAAAATTTTTAAAAAAGCCTGTCAACTTAGCAGGAAATAGAAGAGTTACAGAGGAAGTGAAAACCTGTAACAAACACTTACTCAAACGAAAAGGGAATCAATATTTCCATGATAGAATTATTAACCGAAAATTCTTTTTTGTTGCTACAGAGTAATACAGAATGGTTACCTATTTAAATTCACCAACGGATGTAACAATTCAGGACTTACAAAAGTATACAGTATTAACTGAGCCGTCCAGAAAAAGACTCCCAGCACATTACTGATCTAAGTCAGCTAAACAGTCTTAATCTGTGCTTAAGCTTGGACTAGAAGTTACCTATGGCAGTTAGAAAACAAGACGCATTTCAGAATCAGTCTAAACAACATTTCATTCAATGCACTCTGCGTGACCTCCATCATATATCCAGTTTTTATTAACATTGGATCCACTGAGTATATTTCTTGATTTGAAACTCTTCAGTGAGTAATGATATTGCCATTATGAATATATCTCCGCACGTATTTTCTTTCGAATGTTCAACAATGTTAACCAAGCTATTTAGTCAAAATGTCACCTGTCCTCTAGTCTAGTGTACCTTATTCGATGCTGTGATGTTGTTGGTATTCATTCTATATAAAAAGGTGTCCGGTTGAATCTAAAATGTATCAGGTTCACTTTGAATAAAAAATATGTTGCATGCCAGTTATAACGACTACACTCTCACCTCAGTGTGATTTAGGCTTTGCTTGTATGCATAATCTTCTCCTCTTATGTGCATAGTAGTCCAGCATGACATGATATTATTCTAGACTCACTGTAATTTTATCAAATATTTCAGCTAATGCTGCTGTCTAAATTAAATGTGAAGATTTTTCAGGAGGCTTTTACGTTCGTTGACATCAAATAAACATAACCTACTGATTCAAGTTAGTTTATTTGAAAAAAACGGTTGAATAAAATGTAAAACAAGAAACAGGTCCATGTTTACGCATGTATACATATGTTTGGTTTTAATTATTTGTCTTACAAATCAAAGAATGCTGATTTGTCCACTTCGTGAAGATCGACGAAGTTTTATCAGTGTGTCTTTTGAAATGGACACAGCGCAGACTTGAAATATAAATTCTGTTAAATCCGAACGATAAACGCAGTCAAACTTCGTCATGTTTTTATATAAAGACATAGAATTGTGCTTATTAATAAAAGTATTCACACCTCTTTAACCAGTACGAATTGTATGAAATTTCACTGAATTCAGCATCTTTAACATATGACGTCTAGAAATTTTCACAGAACTCTGTTCAAACTACTGGCGCAAGAGAAATTGTTTGTCCGTTTTCCAGAAAATCCTGAGACGTATGCCCAGCCACACACGTGGTCCGGGGTTCGATTCCCGGTCGATGCACTCTTAAACCTCACTAAGTAAGTCCGGTAAAGAGGGAATGTTGGGCTTAAGGCTAGCGACTCTATGAGTAAATAAAATCACTGCTACAGAAACTTCCAGCTCTAGCTTCAAGCCCTATGTTCCAGTGGGAATAAGGAATAAGAAAATATTGATAAACTGCTGAGTTTGAAATTAAGACCGAAAATAAAGCAGTCTCCCAGATAAATTTATCGAGAGAGCTGATGTAGCAGCCCATTTGGAGAACTTATTCTATCAGCTGAATGACCTAAGTATAGCTGATGGAAACAAGACAGCTGATTTAGATCTAAGCTGGTTGACATTGAGAACTAACATCTCACATCATCAACCTATTACTGAAATATCCTGCGAGGAGATCACGGAAGAGCATAGAAATTTCTCAGAAACGCTAACGTTATGATGTCGTAACTTAAAAATGCTATGAGTTGGTGTTGATGGACAAAGAAGAATATATCGCAAAAATTTAGTCCATTCTGAGCAACGCGTTGAGAATCACTTTCGAAAACTGCAACAAAAATAGGACCGTCTTAATTCAAAAGCTCACCATAAATTTACGGGGAGAGTTATTAAAATAGAAACTGGTTGACAACAATAATCACAGTGAACTAATACCTTGAAGGTCTTTTATTCCTTACATGCATGTCATCCTGAGATCTACACTTTATATGATCACATCGACTTAGTACAAAGTTGCTCGTTGCCTTCTGGAGAATTTTGAACCTATTTATCACCTAGCACCTGTATGTACCGTGAAACATCCAACAGATTTCACTGGAAACCTGAACCACACAAATGCATCCAGTATATTTATTGTGCCATTTATTTTCATCTCTCTGCTCACATGGGTTGCGATTCATAAGACTACTGAACATTCTCTCTTTTCTGGACTTATGCCAGCTAGTAAACTAAACGAGGTTGCTATATTATGATTATATGTTACTGTGGCTACAATTCGTTCAAGCGATTAGACAACTTCAATTAATCTATTAGAATGACATTGGCAAATTTTTTCCTTTAACATCCTTTTATATGTGAATTATTTATCTTATCAGCTAAATAAATAAATAGTTATCAGTTAAGACAGATGTTCAGGAATTTCTCCATTGGTCAAAATTCTGATTAAATCGCATGTATATTTGGGTATAAGTTAATCTGATTGGCTACACTGCACACATGTTTATGTACTTATTGTTCACGGTATCAAATTTCCTAGCTTTTATTCACCTATAGGGTCCAGATTAATCAGTCTTAATTCATGAGAATACCTCGAATCCTTCTAGTACTGAAACTGAGTATCACCTAGAAAATCTTAAAATCACAAATAGTTTAACCACACATGACCTTAATTTGTACTCAAAAAGGTAGCGATCAATTAATTATAGTGTAAAAGTCGTTCTACTCTTTGCGCTGATAAACAAAATCTGTTCGAAGAATAAGAAAATAGCATTTATTGCCTCAGATTCTTTGCCGACACTTGTTGAAATCGACAGCTTTTCAGTAAGTACGTGATAATGAAATTCGCAGAGTTCCTTTAATATATATGCTGACCATAATCATTTTCAACAACCCGGTAAATATAAATAAAGCGGAAAACTAGTAATCTGACGTAGGATTGTGTTTTTATGATGCTTGCCCATTAAAGTAGAAGATCTTCTTATAAATAGTTAACTCAAGTGTTGTGAAATCTGAGGAAAAACTAAGTGGTAAACAAACGATATTTATGAAATCTCATAGATCGCTCTTTGAAACAGAAAGATATAACTACATATTAGTAAATAATTTAATTCACTGTTTAATAACCAACTCATGGATACATGACTCACTGCTGAGGAGAAATTCGTCTATGTATCTGAACCAAATGTGAATAACTATAAGTTGGCTGAAACACATAGACGTGGATAAATGACGGTGTAGAATAACACATTTGTGAGGTTGTTCCTAAAATTAAATGAAGATTACTATCCGAGTATATCTGAATACTGACGTAATATAGGTCTACTCCGATATGAAGAAACTTTCTTTACCGGTGCCTACTACATATATGTATATATATATATATGTTCACATGTCTTGATCTAAAAATCTCATTGATTCTCTATGAATAGGGACCTGATATTCTTTTGTATTTACAGTGCTCATAATGCGATAAATACGAAAATATTTCCCGTATGATTTTTATTCACAACCCATTTTATAAGTCTGAGAATGAAAAGAGATACTTATTTTCTTATAGAGACAACTCCTTGCTTGTTTGCAAGCATTAAAGGGTTAGTAGATGAATGTCAAAAACAGTGTTGAATATCAATTAATTAGCGAAAATTTCTCATGACACATATACTCAGTTCGCGCACCCAATAATAAATTAACAATGATTGTCAAAACCTTTCTGTCATGACCCTTATGAATATTAGTATCTTCATTTCAGGGTTTTCTTATCATAAGGCGCTCGTATTCCTCTCTCCCGTAATATAAATTCTTCACTGTTGTAACGCCATATATATTTTTCTGAAAAATTTCCGCACACAATTTTGTAATAAATACTTATTACTCAAACAAATTTCAGTAGCATAAGTAGAATGAAAATTTATGTTCTGAACATGCTGATAGCTTCACTGAATTTTTTACATCTACAATTTCACTGATGTCATAATGCATCACAGCATTTCTTTTCACATCCTGAGATAATATTTTCTGGTCGATAACAATTATTCAACAATATAAAAATAAGAATCAGTGCAGAAATCTACTGCGATCAGTATAAAGAACAAGATCCAAATTTAAACACTAATCTCAAGTCATTTCTTCCATATAGTTCAGTGATTGAGCGCCTGCGTCCTGAAAATAGCAATTTGAACAGGCTTCGCACTTTTATCAACAGCTGTCTTCATTGCATAGTGAAGATCAGACGGCCAGGTGACCAGGAGGGATTAGTGACAAGGGAATCTCGGAAAGAACCAGTCGAAAACTTATTTATTACCAACAAATATGAAGAAGAGAGTTGAGATGGATTGGACACACGCTGAGCAGACTGTTGAATGACATGTGGAGTCAGGCTGTTGAGTTGAAACTGAGTGGTAAACGACGAGTTGTTTGTTTGAGTTAGACATGGAAGAGATGTTGTGAGGAGGAGTTGATTGTGTGGGTAGTCGTGTATCCATCTAAATAATAATAATAATAACAATAATCTGCTTTATTCCAAAAACAATACTTAAAATGCAGAATGAAATTATCACAATGTTGCATTTGATTTATTCAAAATATAAACAATATTAGAAATTAAAACAAAATTTACAAGAGGAATTTGT